GCCTTATCTGTTTTGTATTGGGCTACTTTAATGATTTTATTTTATTTTGTTGTAGAATTACAAAAATATGTATCATCTGGACAAAATTCAATTGCTGAACTGTCCAACCTTCAAGAGCTAGAACAGATGCAGCATGGGAGCATCTTCCCAACCTTTAATAATTGTAATTTATGCATTATTTGCATATTAGTTTGAGTTTTTGGATTTATTTTTCATATATATATGTGAGATTTATTAATTTTGAGATTTGTAGTTATATGGTACTTTTTTTTATCTATTTGTTGAGTTTTTGGACTTATTTTTATGTATTTATTGAGTTTTTAGATTTGTTTTAATGTATTTATTAAGTTTTTGGACCTGTAATTGCTACAAATTGCAAGGATAAAAAAAAGAGAAAACTGCAGCAGGGTCAAACGGAAAACACAAGATTTCTGTTTTTGCATTTTCCGTTTGACTCGGCCGGTCGGCCGGTTGAACCGATCGAACCGATTGAACCAATCAAACCAGAAACCGATGAACAAAACGGTTTTATGTTCGGTTCGGGTTTCAAAACAATGCTTTAAACGGTTCGGTTCAATGGCTTAACGATTTGTATCAATTCAAACAGTTCTCTTGGTTTTGCGTGGTTCAACTACTTTATCAATTCTAAATATTGACCTAATCCATTTATAGTGTCGAGTGTCGGTTTGATTGATTCAAACAATCAATTTGGTGCGATCCAATTTTTTTTTTTTTATAGAAAATAGAGAATTATATTAAATATAAAGAGATTACAGATGAATCTCTAGCAAGGCATTATAGCCAAATTAAGGACAGAAGCATAACTCACAGCATTAGTAACAGATTTAAACTGTGCCCATGACATATATGGACAATTAAGCAAAGAGGGCCATCTGTGACTAAGATTGTAGCTACAATCACTGTAAGGGCAAAAATAGGGCTACAAAAGTAGAAAAGGAGGTCGCTATGAGTGTCTGAAACTACTGAACGTCCTCACCTATTTAGCCAGCTTCACGGGGAGAGCAGGGAAAATTTGACATCAGCAGTCCCCGGCCCACTATATGTCGTCCCTAAAACAGTTTCAATTAACAGGAGGTGCGATCCAATTTTTAAAACAATGATACCAACGAACCTGTTCTGATTTAATTTCCTAATTTAATTTAATTTAATTTATGTTATTTCAATTCTTACTTGATCAACATGAACTTTTTTTAGGAAAAGTTCTCCCATGGGATTTACCACTTAAATTCACTAAATTAATTTCAATTTAAAATTAACTAATAAACTAAAAGGAATTGAAAATCTAATAGAAAGAATCATGTTAGTACCAATGACCTATTGGTTTAAGTAGAATGAGCTCGGTTCTCTTTAAGTAAAGTCTTGAGTTTGAGTCTTGTTAATGGAGAAATAGACGTTGGGAGAGCTTCCCCCTAATGGGGTTCGATTCGGCTCTATTTCAAATTAATCAAGATCCAAAGTGATTACAAGATACCAGAAAGTTAGTATTAAAAAAAAAAAAAAAAAGAGAGAGAATTATGTTAGTGACTGAGGCTTTATTCGGAAGTATTGTGTTGTGTTGTGATTCTATATATTTTCATTTACTTACTATGTGAAAAATGTATGAAATAGTAATTAAATTAGTATATATATATATATATACGAAAATTAATTAAGGTTAAATACCCTTTTTAGTCCCTAAAGATTGAAATTCGACCCCTTTTTGATCCCTCCATTAAATTTTTTGACAAGTGGTAGTTAATTAATGGAATTGTGTGATGTGGAAAATCCACTTTGTAAAAAAATGATGTGAACATATTTTTGAGTCCATTTCAGCATCTTCAACCTTCTAGCTTTTTTTTTAAAAAAAAAACCTTTGTTGGGTTCATCTTAAGTTCACGATGAACCCAACTCGCACTTGGATTCACAAAGAACCTAGTGCGTGCCTAGGTTTGTCCTAGGTTTGTGAAGAACCTAGCATGCACTTGGGCTCATTGTGAACCTAAGACGAACCTAGTAAAGGTTAGAGAAAAAAAAAAAAGAAAAGAAAAGAAGAAGCTAGAAGGGTGAAGATGCTAACGTGGACTCAAAAATCTGTCCACATCTTTTTTTTTTTTTACAGTGTGAATTTTTCACATCATACAATTCCGTTAATTAACTGTTACCTGTCAAAAAATTTAACCGAGAGACCAAAAAGGGCTAGATTTCAATATTTAGAGATTAAAAATGGGATTTTTTTAGTATAGGAATCAAAAAAGGGTATTTAACCATTAATTAATAATAAAAATTTTACATTTTAAAATAAGGTGCTACATGAAAAAAATAGGTAGAAAATATTGTTAAATGAAGTTGTTGAATACTCATATCAATGTTATAATGCCTCAATATTTTTGCTATGCTAAGCAAAAAGCACTGGAAACACATTATTTTCTAGCGCATAACACTAGGATTATCACTGCATAATAATACCTGAAAAATAGTTAGTTTCTAATTCTATGTGGTGCGCTACAGTGTAGTGCGTTGGAAAATATACATAAACAGCAAAACGATAATGTGTTATTATTTGCTATTAATCTTTTTTCTCCAGCGCAATGATCTTGACTATAACAGTCATCAAATGGGAAACTTTCAATGTTCAACACGGTCAAATAATAAAGTATTTATTTTCTAACACGGTACACTAAAAAATAAGGTTGAGGATAATGTACATAAATTGAAATAAATAATAGCTCTAATTTCAACATTTTAAAATAAATTAGTTGTTAGGAAAAATATAAATGAATTAGTGTAATATCCAAATAAATATTAGAAAACAATAATAAATATAAATTAATTATACCTTTAATTGGAATAAATAGACATATAACCATGTACCTAAAACAAAGGATGAAAGAATTAGTATACTTCTTAAGTGAGTATTAGTATAAATTTAAAAATTTGAGGAGAGGAAGAAGAGGCAATGGAATAAAAATAAGTGAAAATTAGAAAACAATTATAAATATAAATTAATAATACCTTCAATTGAATTGAATAAACAGAGAACTATATATATACCTAAAAGAAAAAGAAAAAGAATGAATTAGTACACTTTTTAAGTGAA